TTCAGTGAAGATATTGCAGCGAAACGAAATTAGGAATCAACGCGTACGGACTTGTTTAATAGAAGTCACTAGACTTATGTATCACTGCGGTATGCATAGTCATACTTCTTTGGTGGAAGGAGGACTGTCAAGTTATGTAGAGAGATTGGGAGCTGACAAATGCAGATTACTTCATCGTTACCGGACATTGAAGCTATACCAACAAGATATTGGACGGATAACCATGAATGGATCAACCAGCGCCACATTAACGCTACTAGGGTCGGTAGATAGTACTGGGACCTGCGAAGGAGCAATCTATCACGAAAAGGGACGAACCTGGAAGGATGTGGTCATCCTAGTCGACGTAAGGATCCAAGCGAGATACTATATGGCGAAAGTCAATACAAATGAAAATGAGATCAGCATGCAGGGTGGAATAACTTGTCAGTTCATGAGAGGTTATTGTTTCGACACCATACTCGGAGAAAGCGTATGGGACAGTGATTTTCCAACAACTTGCGATGATCACTTGAGCCTTTTATATGAGGGTACAGCAGAACTGATTTCCAATAGACTAACTTCTGAGAAATTCATAGTAGTCGAAGGGGAGCTGAAAATTATAGCGTTAATGCTTACCCGGAAGGAGATGCTGTGCAACATCGAAGCATGGCAGACCGAACACCCAAGAATCGTAGTAGTGGAGAGACAAGAAGGAAGGAACATTCGACCAGCGATGAATATTCTTCCCGAAAATACAGATCTGATGGCATATGTAAATAGTAAATTTCTATATGTGGAACAGTCCTATAAAAGAGCCTTGGACAAATTGTACATCGACACCATACATAGGCAATGCCAAGTACGGAGGGAGATACTGAGAAATCGATTACTGATGGCTCCTCTCACACCACACGCCATTAGTCAGATCTTGCAAGAAGAAGGAGGACATGTAGGAAGAGTCTTGGGTGAGGTGCTGTACATTTTGAGATGCGTACCTAAAGTGGCGACGATTAGACGGACTGATCGCTGTTACCATGAACTACCCGTGAACGTGAACAACCTATCGAAATTTGTAGCTCCAATAACCAGAGTCATCCAGGAGTACGCGGAGGAAATAGACTGCAATGGACTGACGCCTCCGCTCTACTATTTGGACGACCAGTGGATAGGACTATCACCTTATCCCACAATTAAGAATGCCCCACGAGAAATAGCTGTGGATCCGGAAAAGCCCTTGCAATTTGCCCCAATACAACCCCTTAGCACTAGAGGATTGTATACCCAAGAGGAAATTTCCAAAGTACAACGGACCTTGACGTTTGGAATGGAACGCAAGGCAGTGGAGAACATCCTCACTCGAAGGATAGTGGGACTGAAAGCTGAAGGACAAGGCCTCACAACGCTCAATCTGTTCAACGCCAACGAGATGAAGCAGCTGGCGAAGTCGACCATGAAACAACTGTGGGGTTGGTTTTCCGACGTAGGAATGTTCATGAGTGGACTTATTGGCTTTTACTACATATTCCGAGTTGTGAAGTACACTATAGGTGTTACCCTGAATGGCGTTCACCTGTATCAAATTATTGGGTGTGGAATATCATTACTAGCAAGTTTGTGGAATACCCTGACCTGGTGGATAATTCAACGGGAGCGTCCTAGAGAAGCCCAACCAGATGAACCGACGACGCCATTGCCAATCATCGCAGAACCCCAGCAGACTGCCCATCATACCACTGGCGGTTACCCTGTTTTGCCCCAGACACACTGGACTGTGAACAAAGACATTAACGAAGCAGCTTGAGTGACTGAACCAAAAGACTTTTCAATCAGTGCGGTACAAAGTTGTAGGACGAACTTAGGATCTGTGTAGATTGAATTCAATCTGAGTTCAATCTATTCGAATCGTATCTAGAATAATGTGCCGTTGACCAATAAAGAGTAGCATATCATATGGAAATTATTGAGATGGAAATTCACCAAGGCGTAAAAGACTACAGTGAATCGTGAGTGAATATGGCCTCTGTTGTGATGTCATAACGCGAACTATAGTATACAAGGAGATACGTTCACTCCTCTTTCAATGACTTTTTTTTGAAAAATTTGGAATATTTCGTTAGGGAACCCCTAATCATAGCATACTGGACAACCCCACTGAAAGTCGCGTAACTTGAGGTGATACCTATTTTGTTTTCATATTTGAATTCGACATGAGGTGGCGTTGTTGTATTTGTCAGTAGGCATGAAGCGAGAAAAGTTATAGCAATTGAGCCAAAACTTTTTCAAAAGGGGGAGTATTGTAATAAGTTGGATATATTATATTTTTCGTTGAATTTTAGATACCAAAATACATGTGTTTTCGTATGAAAAGGGAACCTTATCATCTTTCAGAAATAACCTTAAGGCCAACAGAACCAAGCCATTTAAAGGAAAAGTCGTTAAAATTAACTGCTTGATGCTAAGAAATTCGATATTTTGAAACATTCAACCTCATAATTCATTTCATTATCTTTCGTTAAGGGTCGAAAATATGTCATCCAGTCTGTATACCCCATTTGGAATAAAAGTCCAAAAAGCAATTAAACGTATAATAAATATCAAAATTTATGTTCCGAGGGGTTAGAGTGTCAGCCTTAATTTTAACGACATGATAAAATTAATGTCTGGCATAGTCTACATACCACTATTCAAAACAGCAAAAATATATAAATGACCCTTGCAGTGACATCTATATATCAGTAGCAGACTCACGACATTAGAAATGTCGGGAACTAGACGGTAATTCTTGCGAACTTATCCGCTGGACATGTAGAGGACGTTAAGAGTACCAGTTCCGGAAATAATTTCAGACTTTCTGATTGGCGGGAATTTTTATGAGATTATTTGAATTACATCCCCTAATAGAGTTAAGGTGGAAATTTTTGGGGAGAGAATTAAGTCAGTCGTGCGCGGACCTCAGGGTCGTTTAGGGGCTCTTGCCCGGGGCAGTTCGCCCCTTTGGGAAGGTTGCTGGGAAAGCTATTGAAGGGACTGAGGTGCTAGGGGTTTTAAAATACTGGGTCGCGAGGGGATTTCAGTAGTGCGATGAATATTCGCGGTTTCTTTGACTAGCTGACTTGAGATAAAATGTCAGGAGCGTACGAAGTCAGAAATAGGCCGGTTGAATTTCCTCCAGAGTTTTGGGAAATACTCGAATAGAGTGAAATACGGTTTCGAGAAGTGATCTCGATATTTGGGAGTTATTCGCGTTTTATTTGGCTAGCTGACTTGAGGTAAAAAGTCAGGAGCGTACGAACTCAGAAGTAGGTCGGTTGGACTTCCTACGAA